CGCTGCTGGAGTCGTGGCTGCCTCCCTTCTTGGGCCTGGCGACGCGGGCTCCGCAGCTGCACCGGTAGTCGTTCTTCCCCAGTGTCGAGTGCCACGACCACTCGTTGCAGCGCTTGCAAGTGGCCCATGTCGTGGGCGCCTGGCGGCCGTGGTGCATCTCGAGGATGAGCAGGTCTTTCTCCGCGCGGAGCCGCCTGCGAGCCGACGCCCGCCTCTGTCGGAGGCGGCGGTGCCAGGCTGGCGAGCGGGAGCGCTGCTCGCGGCGCCCCGTCGGGGCTGGGGGCTTCCCCTCTATGGCGCGGACCCGCCCGCCCCGCCGCGGGGCAAATGGCTGCGCGGGGGCGGGGGCGGGGGCCACTAGGGAGCCACCTATAGGAAGAGGAGGAGGAGGAGGAGGAGGAGGAGGAGGAGGAGGAGGAGGAGGAGGAGGAGGAGGAGGAGGAGGAGGAGGAGGAGGAGGAGGAGATAAGGATGAGGAAGAGGATGAGGAGGAGTAGGAGGAGTAGGAGGAGTAGGAGTAGGAGTAGGAGTAGGAGTAGGAGTAGGAGCATGAGAAGGAGGAGGAGGAAGAGGAGGAGGAGAAGGAGGAGGAGGAGGAGCAGGAGGAGGGGAGTCCTCCTCCTCCTCGCCCCAGAAGGGCACCCCCAAAGGGAAGGGGGTGACGGAGCCAAAAGAGCTCCCTGACGCAGGGGCGGGAACCTGCAGGCCTTCGGGGTGCTCCATTACTTGGGAGACCCCCGCTGCTTGGGACGGTCGCCAAAGCGCTGTCCCCTCCTCCCAGGGGGCTGCCAGATGCGCAGGCCTCCAGGGCGGCCTAGGGCTCGCGCTATTCCCCGCTTGAAGGTTGCTTCTGGCGGTCCGTCCTGCCCCCGCCCTCCCCGCCCGCCCCCTCCTCCACGAGGTTAGCCCTGGCGGTGTGGAGGCAGAATGGCTGTGTGTATATATATATATATATATATATATATATATATATATATATATGGGGCCTCCGCTCGGTTGACCCGACCGTGTGGTCTGGGGAGCGCGGCTGATCATGTTTTACGGTTATATACGCCGCCACGGCATGCCGTGGCGTGACTAAGGAGGACAAGCTAGCGGTTGCGTCTGCGCGTCGTCCACAAAATGCCATCGCAAACGTGTGATCACCCTTCAACGCCGCAGCGCGACCGGAAGCGCACGGCTCAACATATGCCCGCCGCCTTTCGCGACGGCTCCTACCTCGTGCCCAGGGAAACGCGGTAGGTCTGCGGCTGTCGGCAAACAGCGCACCCTGGGGAAGCTGGTAAAGCGTGAGCAACTCCATCATTCCAGTAACGCGTCTTGACGACTGCCCCGAGCGGCCCTGCTGCCGACGCCAATATTTTTGCGACAGGATGGGAGGGCGCACAATAAATGATCTATGTGTGTGTGTATATATATATATATGCATGATTCGTATTCTTCTGATGGTGTGCACTGCTACCTCGGGGCAAGGAAGCGCGCAGCAGGGGCCGAGACCTGCCGGTGGCTCACAGGCCCCTGGGGCCCGAGGGGGGCAAGGATCCAGGGGGGCGTGGCGGCTCCGGGGCGGAACCTCGGCCTGGCATCGGCGACGCGTCGAACATGGAACCGCGAGGGCAAGTCCGCGCGCTCCTGGGCGGGATGGGCTACCGGGCCCTGAGCTCAAGTTGGGCATGTCCTCCTACAGGGGGATTTTCGACGAAGAGTTAGAGAGAGCCCCAAACAAGACTCAAAGATGATTCGAGCATGCTCAAAAGATCGTCCCCAGACAATTCTTTAAAATATACTATCTTGGAATCATCCTCCTTTAGAGGGACGTTAACCCTAAGCGGGGACGAATGGGGGGTTGAGGGCCGGCCCTGATCGGGCCATGAACCTATCCCCCCCCAACGTTGCCCCCTGGCTTTAGGGACACAAGCCAAGTCTCTGGCGCCTCTTCGGCACGATTCCGGCACCCCCAGCACGCTCTCGGCGAGGCGCACCCCGAAGCTGAAAAGCCGCCGAGAACCGGCGAACATGTCCAAACACCTCGAGCCTCGATTCCGAGAAAGGCGAGACTGCGTTTAGTGGACGCCTGCCTTGGAAAGATATTAGCCTTCGATATCGCTCAGAGAACCGCCCCTCCTTCCCCCCATTGTGGCTGGATCCAACCCTATTGTGGCTGGATCCAACCCTATTGTGGCTAGAAGCTCTAGTTGAACCCTATTGTGGTTGGATTCAACTTTGGTTGCATCGTAGTCTGACTCGATCCAACTCTAATGGGCTCCTACTACACCTGGATCCAGCTCTAATCGACTCCTGCCAAGGCTCGATCAAGCTCTAACGGAATCATAATACAGCTGGACCTTTAATAGCATCCTAGCCGGGCTCGGTCCAACACTAACAGGATCCTACTGTAGCTTCATCAAACTCTTCTCTTCAATCCTACTACTAATCGATCCAGCTCGGATAGAAGCCTTCTATGGCCAGATCAAGCTCTAATTGAATCCTACTAGGGCTTGATCTAGCTTCAAACTATAATCTCACTGGGGCTCGACCCAGCCCTAATAGCATCCTACTAACGGGCTCGATCGTCGTCGTCGTCGCTGCTCGACGTCGCCAAAGCCGGCGCCGGCGCTCGCCGTCGTCGGTTGCAGGGGGGGGCCCCCCCCTTGCAACTTCAGGGGGGAGGCCGGCTCGAACCCTCTTCCCTTGGGGCCCCCCACCCCCCTCGCTCAAACCCCCCCCCCCTTGCAATTCGGGGGGGGAGGGCCGGTTAGGAGCCTCCCCCCCTTCCAATCATCCACAGACGGCGCTCTGCCCGAGGAAGCCGCCTCCCACCCTCCCCACGTCGTCTGGTCCCCGAACGTTCGCACGTGGCCACGGGCCCGCGAGCGGAAGGCGCACCGCTCCCGAGGGGGGCCCTCGGGGGCCGGCGCTCCCTGGGGCTGCCTGCTGCTCAGACCTCTGACGTCGTGATCTTCGAGGTCACGACGTCGGAGGTCTGAGGCGCAGGCCACTGGAGATTGTGAGCACAGTGCCCACTGGTCGGGAGAAGTAGGTAGAAACATGAAGTATAGGAAGGCGTTGAAAGTAGATTGGGTTCCGTCCGCCCCCGTGGCACAGGATTCCTTCGGAAATCTATAGGAATTCTTCGGACATCTATGGGAATCCTTAGGACATCCATGATATTCCTTAGGACATATATAGGATTCTTAGGACATCCATCGAATTCCTTCGGAAATCAATCAGGTTCCTTAAGAAATCTATAGGATTCCTAGGAGATCCATCGGATCCCTTAGGAAATACATCGGATCCCTTAGGAAATCCATAAGATTCTCTGGGAAATGGGGAAGACGAAAAAAGGTGAAGCCACTCGACTATTGAAGTAGGATGGCGCTTAAAGCAGACTCGAACATGGGAATCGAAACAATGCCTACTTTCAACGACCGGTGTGCATTTTCGTAGGCGATCGACGTTTTTGAAGGGGCCCTGGGATACACAAATAAATGCACACAAATAACAGGAATCCCCATATTGTCCCATATTTTCTGGTTTTTTGTCTTCCCCCCACCTCCCATATTTTGTCATATTTCTGGGGGATCGACGATGACTTGTGTCTGTGTGCTTTTTTCCCTTCTGAGGCGTGTATTTTCGTAGGCGATCGACGTTCTACCCGTGCCCCTGCTCACGCGCCGACCCCACGAGGAGCAGCTACCCCGACCCCGCGAGGCGCCAGAGCCTCTGGGGCTAACAGTGCGGGCGCGGCCGCAAGAAGCCCTTGCAAGAAGCCCAACCTTAAGTCGGGCGTGTCCCCCTGCAGGGGGATTATGGACGAAAAATAAAACATAGTCCCAAAGTATTCCCAACAAAATCAAAAAATGCTAAACATCGTCCCCTGACTATTTTGGGACTATTTTTGAATATTCCCCCTGTAGAGGGACACGCCCGACTTAAGCCCAACCCTGAAAACCCGCGCGCGAGGTGCACCTGCGGGGAAACCCAGAGCACCTCGAACGCACCAGCTCTTTCAACGGCTGCGGGAAGTCACCGCGCAGCTCGCGGAGCGAAGAAGCCCAGGATGCCCTGACGAAGATCATATGGTTTCTTGATGCGCACCCCCACTGTACGACCTTCTTACCCATGAACTGCTTCCCCTGGCGCCCAGAGTGGTGGGGCAGCAGCAAGGGCGATTTCACAACGTGTACTCCAGGAGGCCTGGGCTCCCCATCGGTGTTTCAGAAATGAGGTCCTGAGTGATGGGGTCCTAAGGACGAGGAGCCTCAAACAACGTAAATCTAGCCTTGGATCCCTTCCTATCCTTAGGACCCCATTCCTCAGGACCCCATCTTTGAACCACCGACCCCAGGGCCGGTTCTTGATCCAGGGACGGTCTCTGACGGCCCCGGGGCCCGGCGAGGGCCCCTGGGAAGCCGCAAAGGGCAAACAACCTTTCGTCGGGAATCTCTGCCCGTTGGGAATGTCTGTTCGCGATTCGAAGATGGTCAGGGGTCGTCGCCGCCGTCGCCACCGCCGTCCCCAAACATCGGGCGTCTCGGGTTGTTCGAGACATGGGCCCCTGACCTCTCGACCACTTCCCCAGAACCTGTTTTTCAGTTGATCATCCCGAATAATTTTTTGGACGATCCCGAAGCCGAGTAAGGGCGCCGAACGGCTGAAAACGATGAGAAACCTCCATCTCGTTTTTGTTCGAGACGCCGGACGTCTGGGACAATCAAGGGCCGCTGCCGCCGCCGCCGCCGCCGCTGCCGCCGTCGTCGCCGCCGCCGCCGCCGCTGCCGCCGTCGTCGTCGTCGTCGTGGCCGCCGTCGCCGTCGCCGTCGCCGTCGCCGTCGCCGTCGCCGTCGCCGTCGCCGTCGCCGTCGCCGTCGCCGTCGCCGTCGCCGTCGCCGTCGCCGTCGTCGTCGTCGTCGTCGTCGTCGTCGTCGTCGTCGTCGTCGTCGTCGTCGTCGTCGTCGTCGTCGTCCCCTGGCGGCGTTGTCGACCCCCCGCATGGGCGCCCGCGGTGAGGGCCGGCGGCCGCGCGGGGGGCCCCGTGGCGGACAGCGCCGGCGTGACCTCGGGTAGGCGGCGGGTGGCAGGAGGGAGGGGAGGGGAGGGAAGGGGAGGGGAGGGGAGGAGGTGCGAACTCAATCGTGTCCGTTTCGTTTCCGTAAGTGCGAGACGAGTGTCATTTGCAGCTATCCGTAATCATGGTGGCTTAGGGGCCCCTTGAGCCGCCTTTTGGGCGGTCAGACACACTACTTGCTGGTTCCAGAGAGCCAGCCAGATTATCGAGATTGAATATCAGAATATTCAGACAAAGAGATTTCCCTGGGACAGATTCGAGGGCTGGCTATCTGGAGAATACCCGGACTGCGTGCAGACCAACGCTTGCGGCGAGGAGAGATATACATCTTTGGCTTCGCGCTTGCTGAGGTAAAAGAGAGCTTGAGATCCACGGACCTAGAGAGAGTTGACGACATTGCATCAACACTTATTCAGAGACACCTATCGGTGAACCTGCATTGGTAGCGGAGCCGGTTGGCTCCAATACCTGGACAGCCGGCAAAGATGGGAGAATCTCGAGACGACGGCAAGAAGGCACCTACGTGGGATGGAGACGTCACCAGATTCCAGGAGTATCGAGAGCGTGTGAAATGGTATGTGGCTGGTCTTCCACATCGAGACAAACAAGTGGCAGGAGCGAGACTGGCGGCAGCTCTCACAGGAGAAGCATGGAAGGCGCTCGAAGAGGTTTCAGATGAAGGACGAGAGCTGCTGGAAAAGACTGGAGGCCACAAGATCCTTTTAGAGTTCTTGGACGAGACGCTCATGGACGAACCCATACCGCCGGAGGCCGCGAAGTACTTGAAGGAATACTTGTTCACGCTGCGACGGAGGAACAACGAGGGCATGAAGGCCTACGCTCAGAGGAGCAGGATCGTCGCAGATAAGTTGGACCAGAGCTTCAGGCGAATTGACGAGAAGGACACTACGACAGAGATCAAGTTAGCCAAGAAGATGCGGCCCGAGGAGAAGACAGAGTCCGTGACGCTGGAGTCCACTCGCGAACGAGAAGGCCCCGAAGGCGAAGATGAAGGCGCAGAGGACGACGGCAGCTGGAAGGACGAGAACGACGGCTACTGGAAGGGTAGCTGGTGGTATGGCAGCAGCTGGTGGTCGAGTTCACCGACGGGGTCAGCTGGCTGGACCTGGCCACAGGCGACGACATCGCTGAAGGCACACAAGAAGGTGACGCTGAAGGAAAAGGCTACGGATGCGCTGTGCTCACTGATGGCACGTTTCGACCTGGAGGATGACGATACCGACATCAAGGCGCTGAAGGAGGTGGCGACAGAGGCGCGCGAGACGCTGATCCCGTCGGTGATGGCGGGCTGGCTGCTACTACAACGAGCCGGACTGAATGCTCAAGAGCGCGCGGGAGTCCTGTCGTCAGCCAAGAACTCGCTGAATCTGAAGAACATCGAGGCAGCGCTGCGGGACCAGTGGGCAGACGTGGACCTGAAGGAGCACGACGCGCACAACAAGAAGAGAGACATATTCCCGCACAAACCTGGCCGTGGACGAGCACTAGGAGTGTTTGGAGAAGATGAAGATGATCAAGAGGAGGCTCCAGACGACTACGACCCGGAAGACGACTACGAAGCCTACGCGGAGTTCGACTGGGACGAGGACGAACTCGACCTCGAAGGTCTGGACGAGGAGGAACGCGCGGAGGCAGAGGAGGCACTGGCGGTCATCGCCGGAGCCAAGAAGGACGTCAAGAACCAGAAGAGGACGCTGGCACAAGCGCGGGCCGTGGTGAAAGATATCAAGCAAAGCCGAGGGTTCTTTCAGAAGGGCAAGGGCAAGGGCAAGAAAGGCGGCAAGGGCCAAGGAGGGCCGTGCTTCATCTGTAGCGGACCGCACAGGAAGGCCGACTGCCCGAAGAACCCGGAGAATCGAAACAAGGAGCAACCACGCGGACGAGCATCTCAGGTTGGAGCGTTGACGTTCAGCTTCGCGAACTGGGAGGCCAACGACGACGAGCTCGAGGAGAACGACCTGGAGATGGCCTACACGGAGTTCGAGGTGGAGCACGCGCTGGCCGGTCTCGCGGACGAGACGGAGGGGTGCATGGTGCTCGACAGCGGAGCGACGAAGACGTTCGGGTCGATCGTGGCGCTCGAGAAGATCATCGAGAAGCAGCAGCAGGCAGGAATCGACACGAGCAACGTGAAGGTGGATGTGACAGATCGACCGAAGTTCGGGTTCGCTAACGGCGACGCGGAGCAGTGTTCGTGCCGGACGAACCTCCCGCTGCAGGCGAACGGCAATCTAGGTAGCGTGTCGGGCTACGCGCTGAACACCAAGGGGGACCGCTACGTGCCGTTGCTGGGGTCAGTGGATTTCTTGAAGCGTGCTGGAGCGATCATTGACTTCGAGACGGGGATTGCCTGCTTCAACAATATCACGAAGAACAAGGTGGCGAAGCTCAAGCGGATCTCGACGGGACATCTGTGCATCGACATGACGAAGGACCTCTACGACGCGAAGGTGAACTACACTGACAGGGAGGACTTCAAGCAGAAGCTCGAGGATTTACAGCAGGCTCTCGGCACTGCGAGGGTCGCGGCGGCCGATCCAGCCGCGAACCCTGAATAGGGACAGCGCCCCTCCTTCTGCGGTGCTGGTTTCAGGAAAACAAAGCCAGCATCACGTCACTGGATTGGAGGACCTACCAGGACAGTGAGAGCAGAGGAGGGGACCGAGAGCAAGAGGGTACCGTTTGAGACTTCCGAGGATGTGAATTTCATTACAGAAACCACTGAGGATTTCGTGGGCACGGGTTTGGAAATAAGACCGACGAGTTCCGAGCGGGAACGGGTTTCGAGTACATGTGCGAGTCCGACACGAACGACAGCTCGATCAAGGACTGCGAGTACTTCGACCCGATTTCGGAGATTTTCGGCGATCCAGACCACACCGACACGATCGAAGTACGTGACTACCGATACGTGTGAGACTTCTTTCAGGGGATCTCAGAGGCCTGAGAGTATCTCGAATGGGTTCGAGAAGACTCCAAAGCCCCCAGAGATGAAAGTAACTGATGTCCTACACGAGAAATGCAAAGTACCTCAGATAATCATGAATGATGGTGGCGGTGATGCTGATTGCGATCCGCAACGTGGTGGCTCAAAATCCAGGTTTCAGTGGATCAACGCCAAACGGGTCAAGGCCATCAGGGACGATGCCCGGGGCGGCAGCGGCGGCTTCGACGCCCGCAGCCGACGTCCCGATCGACAGCAACAAGCACCGCAACATCAAGAAGGACCAAGGCCTCGACGGTGGTTCAGGACATCGGAGGGGCAGTGGAGACCGACAGCGACGACAGACCGATCCAGAGCGATGGGGCAAGCGGACCATCGGCGAATGGATGACACTGGATCGTCGGGACCTACGACTGGACTGGGACAGAGCGGAGGCTGCCAACGAGAAAGACGATCGCTACACGGGCAAGCCCTGCTACGGCGAGCACGACACGACACACCCGCTGGCGAGGCACGCCAACGGATACAAGGTGAGCTACAAGTGCGTGAGATGCGAGCTGGTCATGCTGTACATCCCGAAGCACGGGGCGACGGGCAGGTACAGGCAGAAGGGAGCTCTGGGACCGACCGTGGGAAAAATCAAGATCGAAGAAGTGACGAAGGAGAAGGTCACCAAAGAGAAGGCGACGTCGGAGAGAGAGAGCCGGACCAAGATCGAAGAGGTGTCTTCGGAGGACTCATTCGAGAAGGCCGGAGAATCAGAGGAGGAGGAGACGCCGTACCCGAGCACCGATCAGATGAGCAAGGCCGACATGATGTTCGACCAGATGCGCGACAGCACCAAGCGGAGGACGGACCCACCGACTCGCAGGAAGAAGAAGGAGTCTCCCCAGGCGGGGGAGCCTGTGGGTCCTTGAGAACCGACCTAGACGTCCCCTCAGGGGACGACGACGTCATCACGTTCGGGATTGACGTCGAGTACCACAAGGAGGAGATTACCCTGAAGGACTACAGCTGGGTGCTAGAGCAGGTGACAGAAGCTGGGATGGCGACAGACCTCTACGTGAAACAGCTGATCGAGTTCTGCACGGAGGAGGACAGCCAGCTCGGGAAGGTCGCGGAGGAACGCGAGGACGCCGAGATCATCAGGATCACGCGGAAGGACGCGGATCTCAGCACGAAGCATGGACTGGAGTTGGCCAAGAACCTGGCGGTGAAAAACCCTGGAGCAGACATCTGGGGAAGCCTACCGTGCACAGCCGTCAGCGCGCTTCACAACGGTTACATCGGCAGACAGCATGGCCAGTACTGGAAGAAGCTCGAAGCACGAAAGAAGAACCTTAAGAAGATTGTGAATCACTTCATGGAAGTGAGCAGGATTGTCGAGGACAATGGTGGGGACGTGCACTTCGAGTGGCCACGTAACTGCCATGGCTGGAAGTACTTCCCGGAGCTGATAGAGTTCTTTGGTGAGATGGGCATGGAGAAGGTGAACTTCGACGGGTGCCAGGTCGGGGTGGTCAACACCAAGGGCGAGCCGATATACAAACCGTGGACGCTGTGGACCAGCAGGAAGAAGCTCGCAACGGCCCTGAGTGGCAAACGCTGCCCAGATCCCCAAGGACACGGACATGCAGAATGCTGTGGGAAGGATGCTACACTATCGGGCAAATACCCCGCACGAATGGCAAGGATCATCTGGCGGAATATCGTGGAACCGCCGAAGCTGATGGGCATGATCGAGGAGCTGAGACAGGAGGAAGCCCTGGCGAACGACAACAAGGAGATGTTCGACCATGAGAGGGAGCTAGAGCTGACAAGCGACGAGCAACAACAATGGAACGACCTGCCGGCGCTGAAGCAGAATGAGTTAATGAAAGCAGCGATGCGGCTGCATCGGAATACTGGACATCGACCACAGAGGGTGATGATCAGGATCCTGCGAAGACGTGGGGCTTCAGCGACGACAATCGCAGCCGTGAAGCAGATCAAGTGCAGCTCGTGCATTGAGAATCAGATACCAAGACCTAGACCAGCAGCGGTACTCGAGCCAGCTCGAGATCTATGGCAGGTGGTCGGCATCGACGTGAAGGAGATCGTAGGCAACGACCAGATCAAGCGGAAGTACCTTGTGATCGTGGACGAGGCGAGTAAGCTGACGCTGGCGGTCAAGATCTTCTCAATACCCGCTCAGGAGTCGAGGAACTGCACCGCCAAGGAGCTGCTGGATGCGTTCAGAGGACATTGGTCAGATCGGTATGGCATGCCAAGCGTACTGAGGCTCGATCCGGAAGGAGCATTCGTGTCACACGAGTTCTATGACAATATTGCAGGTGAAGGAGTGCAGGTGGATCCGTGTGCCACCCAGGCTCACTGGCAGAATGGCATCGCGGAGCGTGCAATCAAGACGGTGTTCGAGTGCGCCAAGGCCATGCATCGTGATCATGAGACCGACCTGGAGGCAGCTGTACATGCGGCGGTGGAGGCACATAACACGGTCGAGAGAGTCGATGGATACAGTCCGAGTCAATGGGCCTTCGGACGAGACAAGAACTGGTCAGGGACTCTCAAGAAGGAGGATCACCTGGACGTCGTGAAGTGCACGAACCAGAGCTACATGGAGAACCTGTCCAAGCGGGTGCTGGCATCAAAGATCATTGGCGAGCGGATTCTCAAGCAGCAGCAGACGAGAGCAGCAGCAGCACGAGATCAACGACCACAACACCTGTATCCTGGGATGCTGGTATGTGTATGGAGATGTGGCAAGCAGGCTAAACAACCAGCACCAGCAGGACCACGACATCATGGGATTGACAAGGGCAGATGGTTTGGACCAGGTACCATCCTCGGGGTGCAGACGACCAAGACAAGCGACGGGACGCTCGTTCAATCCAGAAAGGTATGGGTCGTGATGGGGTCGAGGCTGTGGAGGTGTGCACCCGAACAACTACGAGCGGCAAGTCCAAGAGAAGAAGAGATGTTCTTCGAGGAAAAGCACACACCCTGGACATTCGTGGAAGGACTGGAGAGTCTCAACAAGGGGGATGTGATTTCCGTGGACAAAGAGGACGCGCCGATGAATGAGGAGACCTACACACCGGAGACCACAGCTCGTGCACCAGAAGACGGAGACAAGGAGGACCACTGGGAAGAAGGTGAGTTCGAAGGACGACCTGCACACATCAGAGTACATTTACGACCGAGAGTGGCGTTGTTTACGCTAAGAGGCTTCAGAGCCAAACCGGAAAAGACGACCATGGAAAGGATCACCGTGATCAGGTATGAGGACGGATCCGAGGAGACGGTCAAGGACGACAACTGGAAAGTGCATGGGAAGTCTACGAGGTCAATGGGACGACGCTGGACTGGCAGGACCTACCTGTTTCCCATCACGGACAAGCCAGAGGAGATGAAGGTAGACCAGAACGCCAAGGAGGTGATCCATGAGAAGGCGAAGAAGATGGTCGTGGAGCAGGTACCGGAGACCCATGGGGACAATGGGAAAGACCAGCCGTCAGTGGATGACATCGAGAGCGAGAAGGTAGAGAACACGAAACAGACAACTGCAGGAGGAGCAGATCTCAAAAAACGGATCGTCGAGAAGAGAAAAGTCAAGACCGACCTGTTCGAAAAGACGAAGAGGAGGGTCAGGATGCGGACCAACTTCGGACCAGCACTGAGGAGCTACAGTGCCTTCTTCAATGACAAGATCGCGGACGGTGACCAGATGGACTGGGACAAGCTCGACTGGGAGAACTTCGACGTGGCGGCATGGGCTGCTACGGAGATCCAGGAGGACCTGGAGATCCCGACGGGGATCGACTACATCGAGGTAGCGTTCGAGGCGTTCGACGCGAACAGTATGAACAAGTTCACGAGGCAGCCGGAGCAGTACATCACCAAGGCGATGAAGAAAGGAAGGTCTGAGGCAAGTGTCAAGCACATGACCGACGAGCAGAAGAGTCTGATGAAGGTGGCGAAGCTGGTCGAGGTGAGAGACTGGATCGCCAACGACGTGCTGGAGAGGTTACCGCCACACATCAAGCCGAAGTCGTCGGACGTCCTGAAGACGCGCTGGGTACTCACCTGGAAGAAGGACGAAGCGACAGGAGGCAGCCGAGCAAAGGCGAGACTGGTAGTGCTGGGATATCAAGATCCTCGGCTAGGAGAAGAACCAGTGGCATCGCCGACCATGACCAGGAGAGCTCGGAACATGATCTTCCAGCTTACGGCCATGAAGAAGTGGAAGCTGAAGAAGGGGGACGTCAAGGCCGCTTTCCTGCAAGGAAAAGGGATGCCAGACGACAAGCCGACCTACATCGAGGCCAACGATGAGCTGGCGGAGGAGTTCGGAGTACCTGGAGGGACAGCGGTGAGACTAAAGAAGGCAGTGTACGGACTATGTCAAGCACCAAAGTCGTGGTACGAGAGCGTGGACACCCTGATGGAGCAGCTCGGTGGACAACGATGCGTGTCGGACCCGTGCGTCTGGGTTTTCAGCGACGAGAACAACAACGTGTTCGGGGTAGTTGGCACACACGTGGACGACTTCCTGATCGCCGGAGATGGTGGAGTTCGATGGCGAGAGATCGAGGTGAAGCTGCAGAAGGCGTTCCGCTGGACTCCATGGGAGGAAGGAAGCTTCAAGCAGACCGGACTGTCGGTCATGCAGACGGCCAGCAGCGAGATCACCATACACCAGAAGGAGATCATCGACAACATCACCGAGATCAACATCGGACAAGAGCGTCGCAAACAACGGGACCAGAAGCTGACGGATAAGGAGATGACGATGCTTCGGGGTGCACTGGGCGAGATCCAGTGGGTGGCGACGCAGACGATGCCGAAATATCAGGCGCAGTGCTCAATATATCAGAGCAGTGGACCGACGGCGACAGTGGAGACGCTCTTCGGGATCAACAAGCTGATCAGACAGATGAAGAACGATCACGGCTACAAGCTGAAGTTCGAGAGTTTCGAGGGAGAAGGAGTGGTCGTAGGCTGGAGTGATGCAGCCTGGGCGAATCGACCAGACGGGCTCTCGACAGGAGGATATGTGATCGGGATTGCGCCAGCGGACATTCTGAACGGCAAGCGGGCCCCAGTTGGATGGGTTTCGCATCGCAGTGGTAAGCTACAGCGTGTGGCCAGGAGTTCGTTGGCGGCCGAGGTTCAGGCACTGACAGTGACAGAGGACGAGCTTTTCATGGTAAGAATGATGTGGGCCGAGCTGAACGGTTTTGTTTCGGACGTGGCCGTGGGAACCGCGAGCGAGAGCAAGACGGCAGCCGATGCTGGAGGGCGTGAAGCAGGTACGATCGTGCCTGTGCGTGGACGCTAAGAGCATCTACGACTGTCTGGCCAAGCAGGTGCAGATGCAGAGCCTGGCCGAGAAACGGACGGCGCTCGAGCTGATGGCCTTCGAGAAGTGCATCAACGAGACAGAGTTGATTGTGCGGTGGTGCCACTCCGAGGCCAACCTGGCCGACAGCTTGACAAAGACGACAGCTACAGGGCCCATCGACCTGTACATGAAGACGTGGAGCTGGGCACTGGTAGACGACGACGAGCAGCTCAGTGCCAAGACGCGTAAGGAGCGCGGGATGAGCAGGTTCGAGAACAGCAAGGATATCTCTGGCCTCATCAAGATGGCATTCATGAAAGTGGGAGTGTCGTTACCATATGCAGCAGATGGTGATGACAATGATGACGATAACATGATAGTGAGTGAGCCGACATCCTATGGCTGACGCCGCTGTGCTGCAGTTGCCTGTCCTGTTGCCTGTCTGATGGCCTGTTCTATTGCGTGTTTTATTTTCTGAGACGCACCAGAGCGGGTGCGGACGTTTCGAGGCTCTAAGCCATTTCCATGGAGTAGCTGCATTAAAGATTTCTGGGGATGCGAACTCAATCGTGTCCGTTTCGTTTCCGTAAGTGCGAGACGAGTGTCATTTGCAGCTATCCGTAATCATGGTGGCTTAGGGGCCCCTTGAGCCGCCTTTTGGGCGGTCAGACACATTACTTGCTGGTTCCAGAGAGCCAGCCAGATTATCGAGATTAAATATCAGAATATTCAGACAAAGAGATTTCCCTGGGACAGATTCGAGGGCTGGCTATCTGGAGAATACCCGGACTGCGTGCAGACCAACGCTTGCGGCGAGGAGAGATATACATATTTGGCTTCGCGCTTGCTGAGGTAAAAGAGAGCTTGAGATCCACGGACCTAGAGAGAGTTGACGACATTGCATCAACACTTATTCAGAGACACCTATCGGTGAACCTGCAGGAGGGGAGGGGAGAGAGGGGAGGGGATGGGAGGGGAGGGGAGAGGAGAAGAGGGAGGGGAGGGGAGGGGAGGGGGAAGGGATGGGATGGGAGGGGAGGGGATGGGATGGGAGGGGATGGGAGGGGAAAGGAGGAAAGGAGGGGAGGGGAGGGAGGGGAGAGGAGGAAAGGAGGTGAGGGAGGGGAGCAAGGGGAGGGAGAGGAGGGGGGGAGAGGCGAGCAGGGAGGGAGGGGACTCGCCCGCCCCGCTGGGCCTACGGCAGCCGCGCCAGGGGTGCCGGACGTCACTGCGCAGCAGTCCGTCCTCCCTTCCAGGGGGGGGGGTGCAGACCCAATACTGCGTGAGGGGTCTGAATGCGATGATAACCGCGAGGTTGTTATTGTCAGCGATGACGTAAAAGTATCTGCGAAGATATCAGCAATGATAGGCGATTGATGTTGCTTAGCGGCACCTGCGAGGTGTCTACCGATACGCCCAAGCTCAAGGGCCCTTAAAGGATTGAACCCAAATAGTTACGAAAGAGCATATGCTTGCTGGCATGCTATGCTACACTGCTTACATATCAGCACTGACACTATTTATTTCACACTCGTGCAGAATTCTTCTGCTCTGTGCATCTGCCACTATATCGCATTTAGACGTGGTGATGGCACGTCAACGAGCTAAAATGAAACCAGGCGCACTGCGCGCTTGAAAAGTGAGCCGGCACTGGTCAGGTGTGCCTCGTGCTCTCTGGCCTGGTCCGTCGGCTCTTGATGCTGCAAAGCGAGACGTGTGTCTCGCAGCACTGCCCTGATGGCACTGCCGTCCGATCGCTTGGTGAACTGATCACCGAGCTGCTGATCAGTCGGAACCCAAAAGAGGGGTAGTTGGCTGCGCTGATCGTCAGCGACAAACTCGTTGCTAACTTCCTCTTCTAGTGACTCCTTGAGGCCCACTAGGTCGAGCAAAAGGCGCCGCTCTGACGGGAGCTTGGAATAACCGTCTTTATGCATCGTATCGTACAAGCTGGCGCAATCTGTGACCTGAGCGAGCGGCAACAGACTCGGCGGGATGTCCTCTGGATGGGCATCCGGAATCTCTAGCGAAGCGAAAACACAGCGTGTAATCTGAGCACAGCCTAGAGCGTCTACTGCCGACATCGTTTCGGCTGCCAACGTAGATCAGCAAACTCTCTTGATGCTGCCCGATCTCCAATCAACAATTCCTGCTCGAGCTCGATCTCCGCGTAGTAGCTTGGCTTCTGCGAGAAAACTCACGTAGCCGGCCTGCGAGCGAATCTGGATCTTCTTGTCCTTACTGGTTGCCCCCGCGGTCTTGGCGAGCAACTTGGAGATGGCGCCTTCAGCGGGCTCGTCAGCGTTGGCCCAACTGGCGTCGTGGTACGTCACCAGGCACAGAGGTCCACGTAACTTAGGGAACTCCAAACCCACGTCCGCGTGCTTCCGCGCCAACTTGATGAGCCTGTTCGTCTCGAACAAGTCCTGGATGGTGGGCTTGTTCTGGGTCCGCTGCCCCATGGCCACTCCAGCTGCCAGGTCGGGACGAGTCTGCGATGAAAACCACCCGAGCGCTCCGAGTGCGGAGCGGTTGTCCGAGAACTCGGCTGGCGTAGCATCTGACGACAGGTCCGTCTTGCGCTCCTTGCTGAGCGGAATCTCCTCGATGGTGTTCGCGTACTCGGTCTGTCGTAGATGCAGTACTTCCTCTTGATCTCGCCAGGCCTGCTTGCCGCACAAGGTAAAAGGCAAGCCTCGCCAGTCGCCCCAGGGCAAAAGCTTGTGAAGCCTGTCGTAGAGGCCCGGGTACTTGTGCGAGATCCCCAGCAGCAGGTCGTCCACGTGGGCGACCACCACCGCGCAGAGCTCACCGTGCTGGTCGTAGCCGTAGTACAGCGCTGGGTCTAGCGAGTGCTGGTGTAGGCGAAACACGTAGTTGTCGCTCAGCTTCTCCTCCACCGCCAGCAGTGTCCTCTTGAGCTTCGCCCACCATTGTCTCGGTGCCGTGGCCAGCCCGAAAACTCCCTTGAGGATTTTGATCAGCTGCTTCGGGTTCAGCCCAGGCAAACCTTCGCGAGGCTGGGCCATGCACAGCTGCTGGTCGGGCTGCTCGTCGCCTTGCATGAAAGCCGCCTCCACGTCCGCCGCGTAGATCTCCAGGTCGAACCTCTGGCAGATGGTGAAGAACAGCATGGTCGAGTTGCGGGTGACCGTGGGCGCGTCCGTCCGCAGGTCGCCCTGAGCGAGGCGCGGGTCCATCTGACCCCCGACGCAGAGTCGGGCCTTTGCCTTGACCGGCAGCGGATGCTTGTCGGTCCGCAGCGGGGCGTTCTTGTCCCGGTACACGAACCGGCTGGGCAGGATGAGGCTGGGCTTGATCACGCCCCTGATCGCCTCGGACTCCTCGATGGAGAGTACCTGACAAGAGCCATACTTCTGCCACTCGCTCCACTGCTTGGCGGCCGCCTCCCTGAAGAGCTCCCGATCGGAGTCCTTGATGGCCCTCCAGTTGATCTCCTTGTCGGACTGCTTGCGCTTGATCCTCTCGGTCACGATGGAGGTTTGCAATACTTGTCTTGGAGCCGACCTCGAACGTTGGCGGGCTCCTCCTGCTTCGGGTCCGGCCGCTGCCTCCTGATCGGGGGCCGCCGCGCGGTCCCGCGAAGTTGCCCTTGCGGGCAGGGCGCCAGAGCCTGCGTTCTTCCTCTCGGTCTGGAGTCGCTTGAAGGCCGGGCCGAAGTCGCCGCTGTCCCCTCCGTCGAAGGTAGCTCGACGTCGTCGGAACTCGTCAGGGCCGTAGGTTCGCTCTTCTTCAGCTTGTTGCGGAACGTCGGCGGGCAGCACCTGGATCTGCTCCTGCTGGGGCGGATCCTCGGAGACGTTCAACTTGAGGTCGCTGTCGTCCGGGTTGTCGATGAATTCCCGCCACGCCTGCTCCATCTCGTCTGGCTTGACCTCGGGCTCGCCAGGCGCCGGGCGGATGTCCTCCACCTGAGCCTCTTCTTGTTCGAGCGAGTCGCGAGCCCGATTGAGCTCGGCCACGGCCTGACCGATCTCGTCCCTGCCGTTCGGGAACCAGACGTCGTCCGGAGCGAGTGCCTTGATGTGCTCCGGGGCCACCAGCATGGTGTGCCCTCCTAGCGAGACCCAGGTGTTCTCGCCTTGGTGGCCGATGACTACGCACGGCCCTCGCCAGATGCCCTTCTTGGCGTTGCGGTTGTGCTGCTCCTTCTGCTCCTTCTTCTTGACCTGGCGAAAGACGTAGCACATCTCGCCCACTGACAAGGGCGTCGCCGCCGTGCGCGCGCGAGCCAGCATAGCTCGCCGGAGCTGGTCGTCGTTCTGCATCCTCATGAACGACTCGCGCGCCGCCGTCCGAATGGCATATCGGCGGCGAATCTTCTCGTCGTTGGCCGCGAGGCTGTGGGCGCTGTAGTTGGCCGTGTCGTCGACTAGGTCTCCAGGCATCTTGGGGTCGCGTCCCAGCACCCACTGCGCGGGGCTGAAGCCTGCTCGCCTTCTCAGCGAGTTCTTCGCGCCCGATACCATGGTGGCCAGCGTCCGCATCTCGTCCTCGCCCCTGATCGACGAGTGCTCGATCGTCCTCGCCGCGAGCTCCTTCCACCAAGCTCCCTGGCGTTCCACGCGACCGAGCTGCCAATGTGCCTGACCAGCGATGGGCAGCTGCACCGTGTTGAATGACTGGAACAGCTCGCTGAGGGCGCCGCCGAACCCCTTCTCCATGTCGAAGTGAACTCGGTCGGGTACGCCCGCCCAAGAGGCCCAGCACCTCTCGAACGCGGCAGCGATCTCCTGGCTGGTGTGGCGACCGATCAGCGTCGCGACATGGAAGGTGGTGGCCAGGTCGACGATGCTGAAATACCAGTAGCTCTTGCCGTCGACGTCCTTGAGCTCGAAGCAGTCGAAGCCGAGGTCGTCTCCAAAATCTTGCACGAAGTGGAGGTGCGCTGGTCTCCTCGCGCTCGGGCGCTGCCGCGAGCGGCACACCCCGCAGATCAGCCCCTTGACGGCCTGGACGGTGGCCGACTTAGCGCCTTTGAGTCGCAAACTGCGGCCCAAATCTTCATTAGACGGATGGCCCAAGTTGACATGGAGTCTCTTGAGCATGGCCAGCTCGGCTGGCTTGCAGCAGGCCGCTGCTTTCTTTGTGAAAGTAATCGCGCCGACCCTGATCCTGCCGTCCACAGTATCTTCGGCCCGCACGTCGTGAGTGTCGGCGAAGTCGTCTCCGCCGCCCATGGGGTCTGGGTCCCCATCAGGCTCGCCCGTCTCTCCCAGGGGCGCGGTGTCGTTTACGTAGGCGGTGGCCTGCTCCCTGGGCACTGTCACGATGAAGGGCGACGAGTGCGACTGGCAGTCCACCTGGTAGGCGCGATGCCCTCCTTGCTGGCGAATCACCTGCTCCACAATGCGCACCACCGCTCTGCAGAACTTAGCGGGATAAACGCCAGACTTGCGCACCGCCACGTTGTCCCCAAAGGTCTGGTCGTGGTGCTTGCGGCTGCAGGTGCGCTTCAGCTGCTCGAACTCCTTGTGGGTAACGAGCAGCTTCGTGGGGTGCTTGATGAGCCCCCCCGTCTTGTAGTGTCGAGCTCCGTACTCGCACATGTCGCACCTCACCTGGTACACGCGCTCGTCTGCCAGTAGCTCCAAAATCGCGCGCTGTGTCCAGAGCCGGCTGGTGGCCGGGTTCTCGATCATGGCCATGTCGCCAGAGTCGAGCTGGTACTTGAATAGGTCGCGGGCCAATAAAAGGAACGGCCGCTCCGTCCTCCAGATCCGTCGGAGCGCCTGCCTGGCCTGCGGCGTCCGAAAGTTGAGGTGCGTGATGTTCGTGTAGTGGGTGCAGGGTAGCTCGATTGACACGAACTTCGGCCTTGAGGCGTAGTGCAGGTCGTACGTCGCGTCGAGGTCCTTCTGCTTGCGTAAGTCCCATCCGTATCTGCGGTCGATCACCTCTGTGGCCGTCATCCGACGCTTCCACGCCGCCTCGGTGATGCCGCCTTCGCCTCCGAACACCTGCATGATGTCCACGCGGTGGCTGCGAACGCTGTAGGCCTCCTTGACGTCCTGGACGTGGTCGACCACGTCTCGCGCAGCACTGGCAGCATGCTGCACCACGGGCTTGAGAGGTCTAGCCAGCCAGTCCGCGGTGAGCACTGCCTGAAAGGCGAAGGCGCTCAGCAAGCCCGTGACCTGGTAGAGGAGGCCGACGCGCTTGCCCTTCTTGATGCCTGACCGCCGCCTCGGGGCTGGCGACCCGTCCTGGCGGCCACCGCCGCCTAGTCCCTGCTCTGCTGAGGTTCCCGGGAGCCGCTCGGGCGATCCTCCTTGTCGGTCTCGCCCGCCTTCTCGAAGCCCATGTCGCTGGTGTCCATCTCGTGCGGCTCCGGAGGTCGCTGGCGCCGATGCCCGGCCCAGCTCCCCTGGCTTCCTGAGGCGCTCGTAGTCGTAGCCGCCGGCGCCACCCATTCGTCGTCCAGCACCACCTCCTCGGCCATCGCTGCCTCCAAGGTGGTCTTGGCCTTCTCCGGGGGAAGGGGCGGCGCTCCGTGCGCCTTTACCCACCTGGCAAACCGCGCCAGGAGTGGGCTTGCCCGATTGTTGCTGAGCTCCAGGACCGCCCACTGCGCGTAGCCCAGGTCGTTCTTGAGCACCCAGCGGAGTCGGCCGTGGGGTACTTGCCAAAGCGCATCTTGTCGGCCCCGGTGATCTACGAGCTCGGATGAGCCACCGTCGCCGCGGCACTGCTGACCGCGTCCTCGACCTTCCAGCCCTTGAGGCGCTGCCTGAGCTCCGGCACGGGCGTGCGCTGGTCGAACTCGATCTGGCGGTCCCGACGCAGCTGCTGGAGCTCCTCCCTGTTCTTCTTGCCGAGCCCCGGGATATAGTCGTCCTGCGGCGTGCTCTCGTGGCCCTCGGCCCTCAGCGCACGCGAGATCACCCGGAGCTGGTCGCGCGTGGCGTCGCGCACATCCAAGTCGTAGCTTGCCAACTCGGCCTGCAGCTCCGGCATCCGCGCGCTGGATATCGCCGGAAGACGGGCAGTTCTCGTCGTCGGCAAGTTCTGGCCGCTGCCCCCCGGGCTCGTCTCCTTGGGAGATGTCGTGCATCGCTGGTGCGACGGGGGCATAAGCGCCGGCCGCTGGTTCGTGAAAAGCTGCGGTGGCTGGATCTGCCACGGCGCGCGTCGTACTCGCCGGTGGAGCCACAGTTGAACTCGAGCCGGATGGCTGCGGTGATGATGTAGTTTGATGACTGCGTGCTGATGGCTGATCTCGTGGCTCGCTACGGCTTGCTTGCTGCTGAAATCGAACATGCCGTGACTGAGTATCGCTGCGAGGTTTAGCTCCCCGTTCGTCATGATCGTGGTTTGTCTGCGTAATCTGTGCTGTGCTGACTGACCTAGTACACGCTCCCCATGCCTCGTCTTCCGATCCCGATGACGATTGACGCGATGGAATGTATGCGCTCATGGCCTGGCGCACCTGCTGCTCGAACAGTTCGGCGCTATCGAGAGCATTGCAGTCAGTATCCGACGGAGACTCGTCGGCCTCCGAGGCAACTCCTGGGTGGCGAGCCTCGGGCGCCACCGGCTTGGCGGCGCTGGCCACAGCTGTCTCAGCATGGTAAGAAGCGCAAGGATGAAGACGAATCTCGGCCTTGGTATCCGAGACGTCCAAAACGGGCTTATAGTTCGGCGTGAAGCCTGCGATGTCCAGCGTCGGGTGTCCGGCGCGGCTCAGGCCCATCTGGATGTTGTGCTCGTCGATCGACTTGATGTCCAGCTTGTTGTCTCCGGCGTGGAAGACTATGTCCAGCTCGCTCTGGGCCTTGCGGCTGAACAGTCCTGGCACGGCGCTGCGCACGATGCTCATGCGGACGGTGAAGGCCCTACCGTTCACCGAACAGGGGATCAGCGCCGCCTTGAGGCTGAACGCCACCTTCGACGCCCCGAACCGGAACGGCTCCTTCTCGGGGTACTCGATGGGCTGGATGTTGAAGGCGGCCAGCCTCTTCTTGATGTCGTTGCACCAGTCGAGGCCGCCGACGCACCGAGTGCAGGCCGTGTCGAAGGTCAGCTTGCCCCCCGACTCCTTCAGCAGGTCCTCGACGCTGAGGTAGATTAGCGCCGAGCTCGTCGCGGCCATCAGGCACTGGTGGTCCTCATTGATGAAAGACGCCGCCGCCGTAACTTCTTCGGGTAGCTCGGCGGCCTGGCGGATCTGCGTCCAGTCGATGCTGAGCAGCGCACCGTACTTCCTGTCGCGAGCCGCGGCCCGCTGGTCCTGCTGGTAGACCGCCGCGACCGTCATCTCCGCCACGTGAGGCTCCTGCGCGTCGCTGGTCTCGTGCGTGGCGATGTTCGTCCTGTTGCTTCCCTTCTTCGGGATGTCGGCCTTGGCGTTAGGGTCGTTCTTCTTCGAGCACTGCGGGTCACCGCGCCAATGGACCTTCTGGCCGCATGCGCCGCAGTGTGTCCTGGCCTTCATATTGGCGATCTTGGGATCGTCTGCGGGTTGCCGCCGTCGCGCTTGGCGAAGTAGCCACGCGCCTGCTTCGCCTCCTTCAGCTTATCCTTGGCGCGCACCATCTTCTTGGTGAAGAATGCTACCTGCTCCTCCGCCTCGTCGATCACGTCCTGCAGCTCGTCGGGCAGCTCGTCCTCGTAGTCGTCGGAGCTGTCTGAGGACGCGCCGTCGAGCTCGGCCCTACGATCCTCCTCGTACGTCTCCGTGGCGTACGCCCGCTTGTGGTCCTTGTTCTTGTGACCTCCGTAGCCTCCTTTGTCGTGGCTGTCCTTGTTGCCGTCCACGACCGATACCTTGGGCAAGTTGATCATCAACTGCTCCTGGATCTTGGTGGGGTTGAACTGGTTGCCCACACCGTTGAGCACGCTCGCCGCGCGCTCCGGGGGCAGGCGGGCCCCCTTGCTGTACAGGTCCGCCAAGACCTCGTCGGGCACTTGGATGCCCTTGGCCTTCAGCTTGGTGGCGATCCCATTGAAGCGGTTGTTGCAGTCGCGGATCTCCTCGTACTTGTGCCGGACGCAGGCCGGGCGCACGAAGGTCTCCAGCAGCGCTGGGGTCTCCAGCACTTCGATCTCGGGAAAGCGCTTCCCGAGGTACTCCAGGAACACCTCCACCGAGTCGTCACCCTTGATGGCGTCCAGGTCGAGCTCCTCGCACGCCTCCTCGGCCTTGCCCTTGAGGCTGGCCAGCAAGGTCGCTCCCTGCTTGGGCGGCTTGACCTCGGTGCCGATCTGCCAGGTGGCGACCTCTCGGCGGTACTTCTTCATGGTCTTGCTCGTGCCATCGAAGACGGGTGCGGGGATCTTGCCCCCGTTGCTCTTGTCCTCGCCGCTGGCTGCAGCGGCTCCTCCTGTCGCCATGATGGCGACCCCGAATGAGAGGTACAGTCGCAATGACACGAGCCTGTAGTGCTTGCTAAATGACTCTGCAAAGTCGCGCACGTAGCTGCCGTGATCGAGTTAGCTCCTGCTACCAATGCAGACCCAATACTGCGTGAGGGGTCTGAATGCGATGATAACCGCGAGGTTGTTATTGTCAGCGATGACGTAAAAATATCTGCGAACATATCAGCAATGATAGGCGATTGATGTTGCTTAGCGGCACCTGCGAGGTGTCTACCGATACGCCCAAGCTCAAGGGCCCTTAAAGGATTGAGCCCAAATAGTTACGAAAGAGCATATGCTTGCTGGCATGCTATGCTACACTGCTTACATATCAGCACTGACACTATTTATTTCACAGGGGGGGAGGCAGAGGCGAACTGGGCGCGGGCGAGGGGGGGGGGAGAAGGGGGCGAGGAGGAGGGGAAGGGGAGGGGGGAGGGGAAGAAGGGGGGGCGGGCGAGGGGCGGGCCGGCGGCGGGAAGAAGAGAGGAGGGCTGCGTAGCCGAGGAGGGGAGGGGGGACGGAGGGGGGGGGTAGGTCGGGCATGTCCCCCTGCAGGCGGATTTTGAAGGACAAATGAACAAATCAAAGCTAATGTCCCCAAATAATCAAACACCCCCCGATTATTTTCTAACTATTTCTGCATCTTCCTCCTGTAGAGGGACAGGCCCGACTTCAAGCCAGGGTGGGGGGGGGGCGGGGCGGGCGGGGGGCCGCCCGAGCGCGTGGCCGAGACCCGAGAAAAAAAACACATGGCGAGCGCGGCGCCGGCGGCGGCGCTCGGCATCCCACGGCAGGGGGAGAGTGTGCTCGCTGGAGGCTCGCCGGCGAAGCCACGGTGTGGCAGGGGGAAGTTGCGGAGGGAGGGAGGGCGAGGCGAGGAGGGAGGAGCGAGGAGGGAGGAGCGAGGAGGGAGAGGCGAGGAGGGGGAGGGAGGAAGAGGGAGGGGGGGGAGGGGAGGGAGGAGCGGGGAGGAAGGAGGAGCTGAAGGAGGGGAAGGAGGCCAGCAGGACTTGTGTGCACCGTGCTGAGGCCCAGGATCGCCAAGGGCAGGCACCGAGGTGGTGTACGGATGCCTCCCACGGACCCGCGAGTCCAGCACATCGAGTCGTCGGAGATCTGGCCGACACGGCGCGGGGCGCCACTCCCCAGGGGCCCGGGGCCTCTCGACGCCCTCAGCACGGGCACCCCCGCAGCCCCGAGGCCTTCTCTAGAAGTCAAAGCATCCACCACCCCCGCAAGAACCACCCCCGACACGCGAGGTCGTTCCGTAAACGCGCCCAAAGCGGGGATCGCGCAGGGCAGGGCAGGGCTGGTACACGCCCAAGGCCGCTCCTCAGCAGACGTCAGTTGTCAAGTCTGGGTGGTTTCTCCTCCCTCGACTCTCCCCGTGGGCCGGCTCTTCGTCCTGAGCCGCTCTCTGGAGCCCCGACACGGTGCGGTGACAGACCGTGCGGTGACCTCAAAAATCCCCTCGGACCTCACCGCACGGCCCGCCAGCGCACGGTTTTGGGACCCCCGAAGGTCCCTGTCGCCCGAGACGTCCTCGGAGAGTCAGCGCCCCTCAAACGGGGACTCCACTAACGGGTACTTTGGCCAGTGATTCAGCGAACCCAGCCCTTCCCGATGTGGGCAAAGCTGCAATGCAAGAAAAAGGCCCTAAAGTGGCAACTTTCGGCAAAATTGCAAAGTACCCGTTAGTAAGTACCCGTTACGGCTCCGCTGAGAGAGGGACTCGAGGCCAACACCGGGCGGTGACCCCGAACCCCCACCGACTCGCCACACGGTGTGGTCGCCACCCCGTCCGGGGGCCCCCGACGCTGCTGCGGGCGGCCCCCCGGGGCCCCGGCGCAGGGCCCCGCCGCGAGCGGCGGGAGGCCGCGCCGCCCTCGGCTTCTCGGCGCGCCGGAGGCCCGGGCCCGGCCCGCCGGGCGCGGGCGGGCCCCCCTCGGCGCAGCATCGGCGCAGCGTCGGCGCACCGCCGGGGCGCACGCAGCCACAGCCACAGCTGCTGGAGGCCCGCGCAACCCACGCTGTCCCGGCGGGGGTTTGGACGGCTCTGATGACTGAGTGATAAGGACCTTTCTCCGGTCCAGGCGGGCAGGGCCGCGCTTCTGCACGACGCCCTTCTTGGAGACCGGGAGCGGGATCTCGTCCTCCATCAGGTTCTTTGCCCCCCCCCCCCCCCCGTCGGGCCCTCGGGAGGCTTTCGCGCACGCAGGGGCGGACGAGTGCGGTCAGAACT